CAAAGGTACATATTACAATTTTTTGATACTGTACTCAAAGATACAACGCCAAAATGCGCATTAGAAGTAGATTGTATTTACGTTAATATAGTGTTGCTTTAATTTTGTTTAGTGCCATGTTTACATTTCTTAACAATTGGAACAAAATAATTATACTATATCTACCTATATTATACTAGTTATACATAATTAATTTCATGACATTTTTGAACTTAACTGAAAATTAAAACATTTGACGTCTTAATTTACAATGACCTACTAAATTAAATAGCTTACCGTTAGGTTAAGTTGTTGGTTCAAAGTAAATTAATGGAGTATTAGCATAATTTGCAAAATTTTTATTATAAATAAAATTACATTCACGAGCATACGAGCAATAAATTAGAGTCGCTTACAAAATTTCAAGCAACTTGAATAACAAGAAGCTACGAAATACGATAATGTTGTACACATTTAATAATGTGTTATTACCACAACCAACATATAATAATGCCTTGATTCTCTTATGACGATGCGTAATTAATATACTTATATTTTGTAAGTAATTTATGAATTTCCAGCTAAAATGCTTGTAAACAAGAACTAATAGACTTGTGTAAAGTGACAAAAACCAGAATTTGATGTCTTGGATCTCGGCATTTTCTACTTTGTAAGCGAATTCGTGTTTAGGGTGAGATTGGAAAGAACATTTGATAATGCAGCAGCAGTGTTCTGATTTTGTATGATAAGGATGCTGGTGAAATTATAGGCACATGGCACTTATCAACTTATGTCTCAGGGTGACGGGCGCAGTGGCAGTGCCCCTCAGATCTTTGGGATTTAAAACTCTGAGGGGCACTGCAACTGTCATGGACAAGCGTGTAGCTCACCATCAGGCGCACGACTTTTTCGTACAGTCATTGGATATTATAAAAAAATCATGAAGGTCGACAGATGTTGAGTTGGTAGATTCTCTCAACACAAACGAATTAAAATTCGCATGTGGGGGACGCTAACTGCTCGACCCTCAGAGTAGATCTAGCTGTCACCTGTGTATACTTCACAATATAATATATCCACATATAATAATATATATGTAATCGATAAAAGGGTCGACTTTGATCGACTACGGGGCAACATGATGGAAAGAGATGTGAGGGTCCGGTGGCGTTCGTGGCTGTGTTGGCATACTTGCACGTGTTGTAGCTCATGGTGCACTCGATATTACTCATCCCAATCTTCCTGAAAGACTAAGAAGAGATGGAGTGAGAATCCTGAAAATCCTGCTGAATACATACCGCTGCTAAAGCAACCGTAAATATAACGACATAATTGAACAATTACATATAAATAAAATGTTTTAAACATTGTTACTTATGAATACTTAAAATATATTTACTTCTAACATTTTAGAAAAAATGTTGGTATTATAAGCATACTGTATGCTAGATTATCAGCTGAACATAGAAAATAATTAATGACACTGGTTCAAAACTTTTCGAGGCTTTTCTTAATCATATTTGCACGTTAAACACTACGTAAAAAATTTGTTTTTTTTAAAAAAACGGAATGCCGGTCAACGTTCTGCCATCGTAAATTACATTTAATACAATAAGTCAGATAGTAACGATAGTAACTAATTACCGATAATTCATGGTTTATTAAATTATGTATTTAAACATTAAAGATATGAATCTATAATATCCACGACGCTTGTATGCAAGAAGTCTGTTAATATTATCTTAATTTAAAATAAAACAAGATATAATGGATATCAAAAGGGGTTAAGCATGTCATAAATACCATGATTTTGAGCAATTATATTTTTCGTTGATAAGATTATGTTCTCGACTATACTTATTAAAAGAAACTGTTAAGTAGGGATAAGTGGAAATGAAATTCAACAAGTAACATTGTGGTAGGGAAGATTGAAAAATCCATTTGTCCATCCTATCAAAAGTCCTAGAAAAGCTTGTTCACCATCAGTTGACTAATTTCCTAAACAGGAACAACCTTTTCAATCCTCTCCAGTCCGGTTTTCGCATTGGTCATAGTACGACTACTGCACTCACGAATATCACTGATGACATCCGTTTGGGTATAGAAAATCAACAATTGACTGTGCTGATACTCCTTGACTTTAGTAATGCCTTCAATGGAGTTGATTTTGACTTATTACTGGAAGTATTGCGTTCTGTTAACCAGCAGTTATTTATTGGTTTCGAAGCTACCTCTGTAGACGTCGGCAGTGGGTACGTAATAAGAATTCTCTCTCTACGTGGTGAAATATCTCTGCCGGAGTTTCGCATGGTGGCGTCCTTTCTCCTCTCTTATTTTCTTTGTTTATTAATGCTATTACACACTCTCTCACTTCTTGCTATCATGTATATGCTGATGACCTCCAAATGTACACCAGGTCGGCTCTTCAAGACTTACCAATTGCTATTTATGCTATCAATGTGGACCTCGAGTCCATCAGTCAATGGGGTCACTCCTTTGGCCTAAAAGCTCACCCGTCCAAAACAAAATCCATTATTATAGGTAGCACTTAGTTCACTTCTATTATAGACCTAGACTCCTTACCCCATGTGGTTTTTGATTATGTCCGAATTCCTTTTGTAGACACAGTTAGGAATTTGGGGGTAATTTTAAAATTTTAAAATTATTTTGAAAGTGTTTGAGATGGCTTATAACTTTTTTGCCCACTAAAACCAAAATTACTTTGGCCCAGAGCATGCTGCGTCCGATATTGGACTACGCCGATGTTTGCTACCCGGATTTGTCAGTCGCCCTGCTCAATAAATTGGAACGGCTCCAAAATATGTGTGTGAGGTTCGTTTTTGGACTTCGTGAATTTGACCACGTCTCCCAGTTTCGTGCACAACTTAAATGGCTACCCATCCCCCAGCGTAGAGATCTTCATATTCTTTCCCTTCTTTACTCAATTCTATTCTGTCCCTTTACGCTTTCTTATCTCAAAGATAGCTTTACTTTCCACTCTTCTACACTCGCCGTCCCCTTGTCCTTTCACACTCTCTTACTAAACATATCCCATACCTCTAATTTTTATTATAACTCTTTTACCGTTTCTGCGATCAGATTGTGGAATTCTCTCCCTGAATCGATTCAAGGTTCCCCTTCTCTTGATTCCTTCAAACGACGTGTCAAGGATCACTTCCTCAACTCCTAAGTATTGTCTTTTTCTCCACTTTTTCATTTATTTTCTATACTTATTATCTCATTTTTCTTTTTCCTTTTAAAGTATATAAGCATTTAATATTATTATTTATGTATTGTAATGTATTAATAATATTCGTATGGATATTTCTATCTACGTATATGAGTTTATTAATAATTATTGTGTAGTGTACTTATAATGATATTCTTTGGTTGCACCCCTTTTGCATATCCCAAATTTCTATCCTAAGGTTGGAAGAAATTGCTACACAGCAATAAGGCCGCCTGTTGCACATTATCTTACTATCTTTGTACTTAAGTTACTTCATTGTATTTTAACTGTAATTTTATGTGCAATAAAGAATATTTCATTCATTCATTCATTCATTTGTCCCCACCAGGGTGAACAGCTGGTAGGGACTAGTCAAACTGGCGAAATGTTAAAGATCTTCATATTTATCAGAAATCTTTAGCCCGTACAGGGCCAGCGTGTTTTTTTATAGTATCAAGTGACGGGACGAACGACTCGTGCGCCTGATGGTAAACTAAACACGCCTGTCCATACGTAGGTAAGGTGGCAGTACTTCCCTGGACGAACTCTTTCACAAAGTGTTCTACGACTACTAAATGTGGCGAACTATTACTAAATCTCCTACCTTTTAATCTATTACCTTTTATTTTGGTTTTTAATAAACAATTGTAACCTCATCATCATCTCATATATTTTTTTATAAAGACGACATACTGGAGTGTATATTACTTATTATACAAATCCCACGAAAACCACACATGTGAAACTTTTTTCACATTCGTTGTTAGCATGTTTCTTGACTCAAGGAACAAAATACGAGTAAGAGGGTCTGTCTGAGAGTCGGCCTCGACGAAAAGAAATATAAATCTAACTGAGTAATCTAAATAAGACTGGGTGTGGACACGATATGAACGTATTTTCTACGTCAATATTGACCCATTTATACGTCACTGCTGGGTACGGGTCTCCTCTCAGGCAAGGGTTTAGGCCCTAGTTCGCCACCTTGGCCCAATGCGGGTTGGAACTTAACAAGTTTGTCAAAGGGTGTGAACTTTCTTCCACGTGCAAGTTTCATCACGATGTTTTCCTTCACAGAAAAGAGCATGGTAAATTTCCAAAATTTCATAATTACATTTTGCCATATATTTCAAAAACCTCAGAGGTGCGAGCCCGAATTCAAACCCACGGCTTTTCCTGAAAGGCGGTAGGTTTTTAAAACTTTTCATAGTCGACAAATAAAAGGATGGTGAGATGGTGGAAGTAAACAAATCGCATCGTGAACGAATGTCCTACATCTAAAACCAAACTAACTGTCTGTTTGATTTTGTCTCGACTGATTTTTTGTTACTTGTGATTTGCAGTATGTCAATATTAATAATCTGTCACAAAAAAATTTGATCGTCTGTGATAAATTATAATATTTGATCACGATTGCTCTATAAGAGAACAATTGATTTTAAAACTTCTTTTTCTCTTGACTATACTTACCTTGCACATACAATCCGTTGGGAGTTACAAAATATACAGGTGATCAGTTCGGATTTAAAATTGGCGGTGGATCAATAGTCGGGGATCATATGGGAATAAACCTCAATCTACAAAACTTTTGTTGATCATATTTTTCTAGTATTTTGGTGAAAACGCACATCATTGGAATTGGTGTATACTAATTGTCAATTTTCACAACCAGCACAAGGGGTTTGCTTAAGCTTCATCGTGGTCGCACTTGTGCCATTATGTCACTAGAACTACCGACATTCCAGCTACATTTGTCGCAACGGTTCGCATATCGCGGTAGCGTTGTCACCATCTATGTTGCTGAGTCTCAATGATGGGTACTAGTTGTTGTAGGCAGTATTGACATCAACTGAATATCCAAAACTATGATCGATCGTATTTTCTCAAAAACTTGCAACATTCAGGTTGATAACAAAATTAAAATAAAACCGCACACGCTGACAGCCCCGCACTAGGGAAACCCTGCATCTCGGGTGCCATGAACACTCACGTAATAGATAACCACCAGTTACACCCAAACTTACGAGAGAAATAAATGCAGGTCATACAAATATTTCGCCCAATCCAGGAATCCCCTGTGTGGCAGACCAGCATGGTAACCGGTAGGCCACGGAAGCAATTACAAATTTATTAGAGATGGAGTGTAAATTTCACGATATGGAAATAAAAAATAAAGAGTTTATATGAAGGTATCAATCAATCGCTAAATAATATATGCAAATCCACCAATTCGTTTAAAAGACATGAATGACCTATGCTTTGAGAAGCTGTTATATATATACAATCTGTAATTACACAATAGCCATGAGTTATATTTAAAAAATTATAATGATTGGAAAATTCCCAATACATTGACATTAATTTTGTTCGAAATTTTGTGCGTTAATTACCTAAATATAGGTCATTTTTGTTTGGCCTTTGCACAGTAACAGGTTTTTGTCCTCGAAAAGTTCAACAGATTATTATTTGTGTGTAATCCATACGAAAACGTAATTTAATACGTCAGGACACTTATCACGTTGAAACATATAAAAAGCTGTATTTTGTTCAGATTTACATCATTCGTGTACAAAGTTCACAAGAGTACATACAAGCAAAATGCTCTCCAAAGTAAGGAATTGATTCCAGTGAAAAAAATAATTTGATTATTTATTTCTTATACGTCTTCGCTTTTGAAGATAGTTGGTAGTTACGCTATGCCAACCTGCAATTGTGCTATATCCAGGCTTGTTTACTTCTCTCCAAAAGTCTTTATGTAAACCATTGTCTCGCACCTACAATTTGTATACCTAGAAATTCGTCTAAATATTTTTTTTTATAATATCAAGTGACAGCATGAATAAGTCGTGCACTTGGTGTTAAGTAACACGCCTATCCGTACCAGTTGCAGTGTCACGCAGAGCTTTAAACCGCCCGTCACCCTAAGACATAATAAGTTGACAAGTCTCATGTGCCTGTAATTTCACCAACTCTCTTACCCTTCAAAACCAGAACACAGTAATGCTTACATTACTAGTGGCGGTACGTCCCATGACGAAATCTTTCTCAAGGTGTTCTACTGCTACTAAATACAAATATCCGTAATTAAATATATTTATTGCAGGTACTGATACTTGCTCTAGCTATAGCGGCAGTCTTCGCTCAGGAAAGCTCTCACGACCATGGCCATGCTTACTCCTCTCAGTCCATAGTACTCCACAATACACACCACGATAATGACCACAAGGTTCAAAAGGAAACCATCGCTTACTTCCAACCAGCTGTCCATCACGTCGATCCTGTAGTAAGCCATATCGCCTCAGTTCACCACGTTGCTCCCGTTGTTCACCATGTCGCCCCCGTCATTCATCAAGCTCCTATCGCCCATCACGTAGCTCCAGTTGTTGAACATGTTGCTCCTGTTGTACACCATGTAGCTTCTTCCATTCAAGCTGCCCCCTCTCATGTTGAGCAAGAGCATCACGACTATTACGTAAGAATTTAATATTTTCAAATACTTATCAACATGGTTTACTAATATTATATCACAGTATGTTACTAATATCATAAACAACAACTTTTGTTCCATGGCTTCTCAGATTTTACTTTCCCTTTTAATATTGTTATATTAAGTGACGGGACGAACAAGTCGTGCGTACCATCAGGCGATGCTACACGCCTGTCCATAACAGTTGCAGTGCCACTCAGAGCTTTAAATCGCAAAAATCTGAGGGGTACTGCCACTGCACCCGACACCCTGAGTCATAAATTGACAAGGCCCATGGGGCCTGTAATTTCACCAGTACATTTTTGTACTTTCGTACAAAAATAAAAATATTCCAACAGATCTCTCTAAATGATGATAACTCTGTGCGGTAACGAAAGGAAAGCACCTACCAGCAAAATTATTTTCATGAAGTAAGTAAGCACGCGGAAGACGTTGCTAAAATATAAATGTAGAAAATGTCAGATTGTACAACAAAAACTTAAAAGTGTATTTTTGGTAAATCTATTACACTTTGTAATAAGTCATGGACGTAAAGTTCTTGTTTATGATATTAGCAATATAGCCCTGCAAGGTTGTTAATATTTTACAAATAATTCTATAAATGGTTAAGTTTTTAATAGGAAACTTTTTAACTCTATATAGGTGTATTTTACCTTAAGTCAAAGGTTTTATTAGCCTTTAGTGGAAAGTGTTTGTAAATTCAATGTTTCTTTTGTTTCTTCAGGCTCACCCCAAATACGAGTTCGCATATGAAGTGAAGGACACTCATACCCATGACATCAAGTCCCAGCACGAGATCCGTGATGGAGATGTCGTTAAGGGCGAATACTCCCTGCATCAGCCTGATGGTGCCGTGCGCACTGTTAAGTACTACGGTGACCACAAGAGCGGGTAAGATTTGTATCATAATAATTCTTGATGATTAAGTAATTACTGCTAGCATCTTTTTTTTAATAAAAAGTATCATTAGTGCAAGAGTTAAGGCTCACTATAATTTTACTGGACGTAATCAATGCATTTTCAATTGATAAATTATTGACGACCTACGTAGATGCACACCGGTTTTCATGGTGACCCCATCTCTGAGGTTCCGACTTTAATTCCCGGCTAGGTCAATGTACAAATGTACAAACTTTTCTATATTTTTTTTATAAAACGTAAGTGCGCATTTAACCTCCATCTCACTTGATGGAAAGTGAAGGTGAGATCGAGGATATGGCATGCACATCTAAATAATGACTATACACTCTCGCCTTGAAAAGCTTCAAGTTATAGCGTTCGGGGAACAAGTCTGCAGGCAGGGAATTCCACTCCCTAGCCGCTCGCCATACAAATGTGGAAGCGAAACGCTTCGTGCGAATCCGGGGAATATCCACAACATGGGGGTGGAACCCCAGCCCACGTCTAGTCCCCCAATGATGGAAAGGGGAAGGCAGAATCAAATTAAGCAATTCCATCGCACACTCTCCGGTGATATATCCTGTAGAATACCGATAAGCTGGCAACTCTACGGCGGTGTTCAAGGCTCTGCAGCTTCGCCTTTATTAATTCTAAGTCGCACATTGTGAGCCTCTTAGCACGCTTGTCTATTGAATCCAATGTGTCCAGTTGGTATTAAGCAAAGATACTTTGGGATCAGAGCAACGTATACGACGTTGTCCCGTAAAAAAAATACCACTTACATGCATCGCTACACTTGCGATTTATATGTGATTACATTGATGCAAACGCGCGACTGCATCGATACAAACGCTCGACTGCATCGATACAAACGCGCAATTGCATCGATACAAACGCGCGACTGCATCAATACAAACGCGCGACTGCATCGATACAAACGCGCGATTGCATCGATACAAACGCGCGATTGCATCGCTGCTAAAAGTCGCCATGTGTAACCATTCTTAAATACACATTCTTCAAGTTCTATTTATTATACATGGCGCATAATGTAATCTGGACTTAAAAAGATTAAAAATACATCATACAATATTCGGACACTGAATATTTACTATATACATAGTATGCTGGGCTATCCAATGTAGATTGCTGAACTCTTATTACATTACATTAGTTTTTAAAGCTTTTTTCCAGATAGAAGATGTCTTTATAAGGAAATTCTTATTAATTACCAATTACACTTAGACCGCAGGGATAAATCTCCTTGATAGTTGGTTGTCACTATACCATACGTGGGGAATTGTAAAGTATTCCATTTGAAATGATTGTGTTACAATCTAATTCTTGTTACAGTTTTAATGCTGAAGTTCACTACGACGCTCCTTCTCATCACGTCCAGCCCGCCCATCATGACAATCACCATTAAGCCATTCTAATCTATGCTTGTGGCTCCATTGTTAACTTGTAAATAAATTATTCATCCTATTTATATGCAGTATTTGGTAGTTTGTCTTTTAAAACTCAACTTAAAAAGAAAATTTAATGAGTGTTCAAAACACAATGTTCCTTTATTCTATAGAATTACCTATAGGTAAGTATTATATTTAGAACAATTATGTTATGAAATCTGCTAGTGTTCATTCGTATGCCTGGTTCTTTTGAGGCGTTACCACTTTAAAAAGAATGAATAAGACTGAGAATGCTCTTTTTAAAGAAGAAAAGATATTTATCGAGTTCTTAGGTTTTCGCGATTGTTACACATAGGAAATGAAACTATTTTTCCGGATTTAAATGTTGACCTGTAAAGGGCCCGAAACGTC